CACCCAACATATAAAATACACCCACATATAACATACACCAATATATAACATGCACAACATATAAAATGCACCCACATATAATATACTTCAACATATAAAATGTACCACATATAGCTATATGGCATACATCCACAATGCAAAATACACCCACATATAAAAACACCACATATATAATGCACCTACAAATAAAATGCATCCACATATAAAATATACCCACATATAACAAACACCCATGTATAAAATATTATTTGAAATAATTTTAGGCATTGGTTGTGTAAATATTCCTTGATGTGTACTGTCAAGATCGATCATTACAAGAACAAAAACTCAATGTTCAAGAACACCATCTACTGTGGATTAATTGTTTCTTTGCTAATGACAGGAGCCATTTTAAATTAAGGTTATAATATGACAGAATAAATAAATTGTAATTAGAGCTCTTGATATCAGTTTAATCTGACAAAAACGTTTGCACTGCATTCATTTTTACATTGTAATTGGGCTACAAAGCATGACATTAACCATTAGCATGGACGTAATGAGAGGAAAGCACGGGTTTTATCGATGGAAAAAATATCTAAGTTAGATCACTGAATTATTAATGAATTTTAAATATCGCCCAATAGCTTCCAAAAAACATCTATTCCCTTAATTTGGCAATCTTAATTAAGCAATAGTGTAATAGCATTAATAAGAACACAGAATCAATAGGATTGCCCTTGAAATAATTAGACCATCAACTTAAACGTAAATGTTATACATGGAAATTTAAAATTTTACAAGACATAACTACTTATCTGTTTTGTACCTGCTATGCAGAGAAAATAAAATTGATATTGCGTGAAAAGTATGCGCTAAGGTCTGTATATGTATTACACACACACACACACACACACACACACATATATATATATATATATATATATATATATATATATATATATATATATATATATATATATATATATATATATATATATATATATATATATATATATATATATATATATATATATATATATATATATATATATATATATATATATTCACTTTCACAGACCTTGGCGCATAATTTTCACGCAATATCAATGTTATTTAGTTTTGCCTAACAACGACTTCGGGTCAAATCAAGAACTATCAATGTAGTACGAATTTTTGTTCTACACTCGCAGCTTTCCTTTATATTGGACCACGCCTTTATGTAGATATCGTCCAAAAATGTCCACGTACTTTGATATTGAATATCCGTACTGAACGCCTACATAACTTGCATAATTTAAACTACAGGCACGCACAAAGACACACACACACACACAAACACATAAACAAAGACATACACAGACACAAAAACATTTTGTCATCCGAGATACAGACTTTATTAGCAGACATTCTTGTGCGATCCCTAATTACATCAAGTTGTTTTCCTTGCATGGGTTTAGGCCAAACTTAATCTGCATCTAATATCCGGGAAAATATTCTGACTTCTGTTTATTTTCCGACGACCGGTTTATTTACCCCGACGACGGGTTTACTGATTAGAATGATTGCTGCAGCAAGACATGTTGCCCTTACCTTGTTAATTGACTGACCCCATGCTGCACATTTGGTCCTATCGGTGTTGCTTCAAGAGCAATATATGCAGGACATCAAAGGATATAGGAAAATATTGGTATTATTAATTCAAAATTTTTGTAATCAGACTATTCAAGTTAGGTTTCAGAAGCACCACTGTCTCTGTCTGTCTGTCTGTCTCTCTATCGATCGATCAAAACAGAATCTTAGCTAGATTACTTGGATTTTTGTCAGAGAAAAAAAAATGTATTCATGGAATGGAATTACATTGGAATTACAGGATTTTCCAAGCACAAAAACGGTGAAATGTCGTGGAGTTAGAGTGACTTTTTCCCAGTCAATGAAAATTAATGAGCCTGTAGACTATTCTTGAGATGAAACTAAACGTGTAATAAACTCACTATATGTGTAATAAACTCACTATCTGTGTAATAAACTCACAATCTGCAATTTGATTAAATGCACATAGAATGAATCCTTTAGTTTCTAGAAAGGAGTTATATTGCCAGAGAAAAAATAAAACGATATTTTGCCTGGAAAAAAACAAGGCGTCCTTCAAATATAACCTGCTACGGTACTTTGGGAATAATTTCAACGGAAGCTAGCGTAGATAAGCAAAACAGTAGCATGCGCTTAACCGCCAAAAATAATTTCTTCTCAACCGTTTGCACTTTGATTTTTTTATACCAAAAACACAGTTTTAATTCTTTTATAAATAATATATATAATATACTCAAAACGTATGGATCAAAAAAACTCTCTCAGCAACTTTATTTTGACTAGAAGGTTTTTAGACACATTAACATGGAAAAGCTTAATTTGGATAAGAACATTGGTATTTGAGTAGAGAAACATGAAATGAGTATTAGAAATCCATGGGATGGATTTGGTCGATCTTTAATCCCTGTTTAAAAATCCACACTTTATAGAAATACGTATACTGACTCTAGCAGAAAAACTGAGCATGGGACATAATAATATGGCATTACAGGGCTGCAGGCACTGGACCGCGTCCCATATATGGGGAAAACAAATGATGACCGTTTTGTACAATTCGATGAATTTTCCCTTAACCATTAGATGATATAAACCATTTGATGGAGAATATTTTTTTTTAATATACCATCAGAAATTTTATATGCTTTCTGTGACCTGTACCTGGGTGATGATAATATAGCGATCTAGTGGTTTAAGCGATATTTTAGACAAGTTGGACTCGAGCCTAGATCAATGTGATAAGACTCTATACCAGGTATTTAATTTATATAAAGGATATTCGATATTATGAATTTACACGGAATATAATGCAAGGAATAATTTTATTCAAGACAAAAGCGAGCAGAATACTGACTACTGTTGATTAGTTGTATCTTTAGAAGTTTAAAAACATTGTAAGGTAACAAATTTTTAGTACTAAATACAAAAACAAATTGTACGATGCATATTAGCTGATTAAAAAAACCCATTGATCTGAGTTCATGGAAACCAATAAAGTGACTGTAGATAATTCCTTGCGTTTTTCATATACCTCAAGTGTAATATCTAAAGGCATTTGTATTTGGAAGTATTATTTATAATATAGATAAATCTTGATTTATAATGAATTCACACGGTTGCATAAACACTGAGTTGTCTATTTTCGTGCGTTTATGGATTACATTGCATTTCTTTCAGTTACCTTAAAATCTTCAGAAAGTGAAGGAATAAAAGGATATCACCCGTGTTCCACACACACACACACACACACACACACACACACACACACACACACACTCCTAATGTAACTTTTAATTGCTTGCAATCTATAGATTTGCTTTAAAGAGAGTCCTTTGATAACAGATGAAGTTCCAAAAGAAAGTTTAGCCGTTACATTAATGACTTATATGTCAGTACATTTTATAGCTATCCAGGTATATAAACAACAGACAGTCTGAATAAAAAATAAAGGATTTAATCAAGTCTTAACATTTACTACATTTGTCAATAAATAAATTATTGTAACAAAATGTACATGTTCTCTGGCTAATCACTGTCTAGTTCATGACTAACGCAATCATTTCAACAACTTCTATCAGATAACATTAGTACGATATACCCGACATATGGTATTTTCTGATTAGTTTCAAAAGGCAATTTTTCTTCATTTCAGAACAGAGAATGTTTACAGAAAACATGCAGCTATGATCAAGAGTTTTGTAAAATGTCCCAGCTGTCATTGTTCATCTTTGTTATGTAACGACATTTCTGTATACGTCAAACAATGTCCATGCACCGCTATAAAAAGGAATCGATTACTTGGGGAATGCATCGAAGGAGAGAAAGATGATGACGTATATGATGATAACGGAGAACGCAGACTTTCGTTGATTATCTTGTGAGCCTCTAATTGAATTGTTCTTCCACAGGTTTTTCGACTAGATTAAAATTCAGTTTCGTGAAATATAGTTTTACAAATTGATTGGCTTTTCTTTCAATTTTTTAGCTGATGATTTATATTTGGGAGGAAAGTAAACCCTAGCGAGTACCACATGAAGTAAAAAAAGATAGTATCAGTTTTGGAAGATAATTGCACTGAAACCGAAGTTTTTGTTGGTTTTTCCAATGCCATTCGTTTAATGTTGCGTAACAAAATTAAATCGATGCCTGTTTATTCATCCCCGTCTTCTGAATTTATACTCACTCGTTGGTTTTCCTTTCTTTAAAAGAGAATAATAAGGTACTGTAGCCATTCCAAATCATGATGAATGGCTAGTTTTATCATGTGTGTTTCTGACATAAACAAAGTCGATGATGGGAGATTGTTGGTTTACCCATATTTACTCTGAGAGAAACCAATCAATGGTTGATCTGAGAGGTAATTTGATAAAACGATCCAGAAATTATTCTAGCCTAATAGGTCGTATCGACCCTAGTTCATGATCCAGAAATTATTCTAGCCTAATAGGTCGTATCGACCCTAGTTCATGATTACACCAACAGCCAAATTTTCTCGAACATTTATCAATGTTGCTGACTTGCTGCAAGGTTTTCTCGTCCTAGGAACTTTAGACTTTTTTTTAATGACACTGGACAATTTACACAAACCTTATCTGAATCGGCACGGGACCGTTTTACAATCTATCTGGCACAGTGCCATTTTCGAACATTGACAGTTCCTGAAACGAAGCGGGTTGTCTTATAAATTTGCGACTTCATTCTTTACCCGGCTCTTATGTTACAAGTTGTTTAAACCCCACGCGGAATCATAAATTAAATATAAATCCTAATACGTGTATTTTTTATATTAGAAGACCTAATACAAGTACAAAGAATGGAGGACATACCAATCGTATAATAGACGAAATAATATTTGCATGATATAAGAATTTTTTTTAACTTGTGTATTATATTTTATTTATTTCAATTTATATAGATATCAACCAAAACTGTACTCAGGCCTTGGTTCGAACCCGCGACCTCCCGCATCCAAGGCGGACACTCAAACCACTAGGCCATCGGAGCGGTCATGTATTGTACCTAAAGGGTATAACTGCGTTGTGTAAACTGCTCGATTACCAAACGGTTGGTATGGATTCAGGATTAACGTTAAGAAAACCACACTGTGCTGTTTCAGGACCAAGTGAAAGTCGCCAAACAACCATTTTTGGACTCGTTACGGTTTTGTTACTTGCAAAGCAAAAATATGTGTAAATGATGAACAAATTAAAAAGGAAAAAACTTTTGGTCAAAATCCTAGACGGATATGATACCATTAGCAGTTTAAAAGTGGATTGTGAAAGTCCATTGACCTCGCATGATTATATCCAGGACTTAACAATATCTCCAGGGATAATATTTTAAGATGAAAATGATTTTTCTTTATTGCCAAAGGTGGAATGATCATTATTTGGATTCAAATCAACAGGACCAAATTTATTGTGTATATTGATAAATAAAGAGTAATGTGTCATTTAAAGGAAATGTACGCTAAAGTTTTCTTGTCTGAACAGTCCTTGTTTAAACTGGATAAAAAATTAGGTTAAAACGTAACATATTATTTTGAAAACAATTTCTTGAAGATAAGAAATAACCTAATTTCATAAACAGACGCAAAACCTCAGGAAAAAAACAACAATGTAAATTATGTACAGATGAAAAGAATGTTTCTAAATGACGAAAAGATCGACATTTGAAACTGATAACGGTTATAAAGAATGATAGTGTCAAGATCAGTTTGAAAAAAAAATGATTTGAAGTAGATTTTACCATTATTAATATTACAGGTAAGCAATTAGTTTACAGTGACATGAATGATACAACCATTTTCTATTTAACTAGAATCTATCCGATGATAACGTGTTTGGAATACCATAAATAAATAACAGAGTTCATGGATTTTTGAAAGATGACATTTCTTCTGTATGTAAAAATCCAATTATATTCATTCACAATAAAGACAAAATGAGAGTCTGTAATGGGATCTAAAAATAATGTGTAAATTTGAAATGTACTAAAACTATATACCTAATGAAAAATAACCCTGAATATGCAATTACTCTGATGATACGGTCATGAAATGTACTGCATCAAAATGCAATTACTCTGATGATACGGTCATGAAATGTACTGCATCAAAATGCAATTACTCTGATGATACGGTCATGAAATGTACTGCATCAAAATGCAATTACTCGGATGATACGGTCATGAAATGTACTGCTTCAAAATGCAATATATGACCACAAAATCTCTTTGGTTAATAATATAGAACTCTAATTTACGGAGGCTTAAATACTTAACTTACGGACACGTAAATACTTTAACTGAAACTTAAACACTTTGGATTTATGAGAAACTTAAAGTCTTGATAAACGTTTGGTTAGTTTGCTTTCTTTCAAAGAATTTACAATTTCTGCTATTACGCAAAAGTATTTATGTTATGGGTTTCATGAAGGTATATACTGATATATATATAAATGGTAGATAATATACTAATTATGAAACAAGGTTGCAAATCAAACCTGCTGTACACGGATGGTGCGACGGCCTTTGCATTGAAAAGATACTGATTTTTTCAATATTTTTTTTTGTTGTTGAGATATTGTCTCGTCCATACCCTGATCATTGTCTTGAATTTCATTGTTTATGTCTATGTAATTGTTCCAACTAACGTTGGTTCATAGTTTTCCAATTAATTATATCTCTTGTCCAATTCACTCTCCAAGGCATATATCTCATTGTTTATCGTACGTTAATTTGGGTTGTACAAAATTGTTGTATATCAGGCAAAGATTCTTGCTAATCTTATCGTTTTATTGCAGCCAACAATATTGTGATACGTTAGATAAGATTTTGGATCTCATTGAGAACAATTCAAGCGCATCTTAAATACTTTGTGTCAATCTGTTCCAAAAGCTCTGAAATTGTAAGGACTGCTTCATTACCACTATCTTATTTCCTTTTAGTTTACTATCGAACCTTTCCCAATATTTTTAAAAAATTTTAAACCATTATATTCCAAGGTCATGATTATATCAGTATCAAAACCGACTATCAAAATACAACTAATATATGTATCAGTTTATTTAACCTAATCGCGTAAGTTTATAATACGGTTATTGTTATGTTAAGTAACTGGTAGTGTTTTTCAATCCGACTAACATTTTGGTCCTCTATTTTTTTAATAATGTATAATGGGAAAAGAAAATTCGCAGAGTCCTTTTAAGAGATTTCTTTTATCATTTTATTTCAAATTTTATGTAAGAAACATATGCTACTCGTATGCCTTAAACATATCTCTTTTCTATCTTCATCTTCTAGACTGATATTCATTCTGTTAGTTGTATCCACCCATAATTGTGTTACGACATGATGGTAACAAACTAAGCAACAGAAAGACGCAAAACCGACAAGTTTTGAAGACTTAACAAAGAATTTAATTTTCAAAGTTACACAATTTAACAGTATTCTCAATTCAGTCCAAAAAATATTGAAAAGTTCCTTTAAAGTCCTAAAAAATCGAATGTTCCCAATGAATTTCAAATCTTCATATGTACTGGTCTGCCAAAAATTATATCACAATGGCTTTGTCCAGAACTCATTTGAATAAATTCACAACAGTCCCAGACTAAACTTTTAGTCCAATGAGCACTTTATAATTCCAATGAATAATCCTATCAGTTGTCCCCTCTCAAGCTCTCTAAACGCAATATTAAATACATCTGCAGACTGACTAACACAGGAACATATTGAATAAGAATCCCAAGTAGAAATAAAATCAATGGCTCAGTTCTCTTCTTGTATACAAGCATTGAGGGCTAAAATACACTTTCCTCCACGGGGCCCCGAGTGGCCGAGTGGTCTAAAGCGCTGTTCGTTACGGATCACTGCCATCTCATCTCTGTCTGCGTGAGTTCGAGTCTAGGATTCGGCGAATGTGGATATGTGAGAAAGTTTGCCCGTAGCTTCTTGTGGGTCGGTGGTTCTTTCCGGTGATTTCCTGGTTTCTTCCTCCACCATTAATACTGGTCGCCATGAATAGACTATCGCTGAAAAATGGCGTTAAGCCCAGCAACAACAACAACTTTCCTCCAACTCGCAAAGGGACATTTCGCAAATTTCTAGATGGTAGAAGAAGCCACCTGGCCTAACCCATTCAGTGTGAAATAACTTGATTCTTCAAAGAACCCAATTGACCCACCCATCCAATGGGAAATAACAACACTAGTAAACAGGTTCATTGTCAGTATTATTAGTTTTGATCGCATACACCCATTTTTAAACCTACGAACTCTACGCTTTTAATATCTTATAATAGAATTTATACCTTTGTACAAAAATGAACTGTCTAATAGCTTGATTCTAGATTATTATTGCATTGCAATTTAGTCATAAGCAAAAATTGCTCATAATATTGACTAGAGTTAGAAAAATAAGATAAAAATGACAATTTGCATAATCTCAAACAAAGACGCCTTTATAATAATATACAATACTGGCATTAAAGCATTCCTGTTGTGTTAATTGATTTGGTTAATTAATTGGCATACATATCTAGATTTCATAAATCAGTAACACCAGACTCTGTAGACGGCCTTTTGGTTAAACGACTATGAGTCACCTCCTTGAGAATATTTATACTGAATGATGAGTTACGAGTCAAGGCCTTGAGAATATTTATACTGAATGATGAGTTACGAGTCAAGGCCTTGAGAATATTTATACTGAATGATGAGTTACGAGTCAAGGCCTTGAGAATATTAATACTGAATAATGAGTGATGATCAAGGCTTTGAGAATTGTTAACCTGTGTCCAGGCCTTGCGGACATTTATATTGAAGGATGATTCATCGCGAGTTATGAGTCAATGCTTTAAGAGCATGTATGCAGAAGGATGGGTCATGGCGCGTTAGATTAAAAATTATAGTAACATCTGCTAAAAGGTGTGCTTCTATTGCGCATTATATTTTCACATCTCGTTTCTATAAAGCGTTTTTCATTTTGAATAATGTTTAAAAATATAATTGATTACATTAGTTTTATATACATCACACAAGGTACCTTGACTTATCCAAACATAAGGGTATTAAAAAACACATAACGTATATAATTTATCGACCTTGTATTATTGATCAATGCGGTGAGAATATCTGATCTGTAATGGATCTGAAAACATCGGAGTAGGGAGAAGGAGTGGGTGGCGTAAAAAAGCAAACAAGTTGGAAGAGAACACATATGGGATCAAGGAACAATGGACCCGGAATCTCCAGCATTTTTAAGCGCTTCCATGGCATAATTTTAACTATTAAACTGTAAAGAAAACTTTGTCTCGGAACGTTCCGACTGTTTCTCGCTCATTCTCAGTATACAATGGGGAAGAGGGCATGAATCAGCATCCTGCTGGCAGGAAATTCGCTCTCAAACTGTAGTAATGGTAAGCCTAATATGTGCGATACTGTCACGTCTCAGTTTGAACTGCATTTATTGTTGCGAATTCTATTAGTATCACCCAAAAATAATTTACAACGGTACAGTAATAAAACCCTCACACTCTGCACATTGTTTTCCTTTCACATATACCACGAAAAGAGAGAGAGAGAGAGAGAGAGAGAGAGAGAGAGAGAGAGAGAGAGAGAGAGAGAGAGAGAGAGAGAGAGAGAGAGAGAGAGAGAGAGAGAGAGAGAGAGAGGGGGGATCGATCAGAAAAGTTGCAACTAGTTCAATAAGGACGTACTACCAATAGCCAGTGCTGATTAATCATGATTTTCCATTGCAGGTGTATTTTCCCTTGGAGGTTTTTCTCGTCACGTTGGAGAATAATTTGTTACGCTGCCAAACAGAAAGTTTTCATGTTGGGGTAATTCTAATTACACTTAGAATATATCTAAAAAATAAGTAAATAAAATAAAATAAACTTGTTCGGGAAGATAAGACCAATTGCAGTAGAGTTTCCTTTAGATTTGTTTACTTACCCAGCTTGTGGAAGCAACCTACTTTGAAAATCTTGTTGTAATCATCTACTA